ATCTAAGGCAGGATTCTCTAATAAAGTGACAGGCAATATAGCTATTAGCATATGAATAGGAAGATGGATGGAGTATTAACAATGTCAGTTAGGTCAAGAAAAGATGTATTGCCCAATTAACTCTCTAAATGAACAAACTTGCTGGGTTTTTTTAACTCAAAGCACAGTATCAGCAGCAAACGGGTGAGGCGATGGTATCGCTTTATCCTTTGTGTGGTCTCCCGGTGTTAACATCTCCTGTTCTTCTCCAGCTGTAAACAAGAATCAATTTCAGTCTCATAGCTAGGGGAGGCAAAAGAACTCGTTTTCCTGAGCACCTGCAGAGAGATTGTATTTCAGTCAACTTTTCCTGCTGTCCATCAGCATCAAGAAACCTTCAGGCTGCATTGAAGTTAGCTCTAACCCCAGCCCGCGCCTGCTGGGGTCCTACCCCTGTGGGCACTCATCGCACTCAATGCAGAGGGAACTGAGCTGCCGACCAAAACCTCCTGAGCGTAGAGAGAGAGGTGGGATTTCTCACCTACCCTGTGGTGTGTATTTTCCATAGGTTTGCTTTTGCCTATGCCCAGCTCAACACAGGATCGCTGACCTTTGGGTGTATCTAGGTCCTATGTACAATAAGGCATCAAGTTTGCATGCTTTGAATTGCTTGCTGGAGGATCTTTCCATTAACGGTAAAGGAAGCCAATGCACCTAATTTAGGCTTTTTCAATACCCTGCAATGCCATCTTCAGTATTCTTCTGGATTAAGATTCCTAACTTCCAGGTAAATCCCTACTTCAGCAGAATTTAGGCAGCCTAGTCTTTAAAGACTAGCTTTTAAACCTTTTGCCATTTTACCTCTTGGCAATGATTATCCCAACAGGCTGAGATAGAGGTCTACAAAATACCATGGGATTCCATAACAGAGGGGCTTAGCAACCTGGGGGAGATTCCTCATCTTTAACTGAAGCAATTTCTAGCCGTTGCCTTTGAGAGGGTTTGAAATTTTGGGTACAGACACACAATCCAGCACAATCTAGGCATAACAAGTTACCTTATAAACCAAAAAGGGTATAAACTAATGAATTTTATCTTGCGAAAGGGCAATGTAACAAAGTATTGTGGCACATACTAGAGGTAGTCATGTAGTGAATTTCAGTTTGTCATTTGCTCATTATCAGCTGTTACCTAAATCCAGCTTCTGAGTTTCTGTATATCAAGAATCTGGAGCTGGAGTTCCCCACATGCCACTTCTCTTCTACTTATTGACCACATTTCACACACTCAAGTTTGAATATGATGGTCTTGTAAATTTCTACAAGGTATAGTTCAGCTGGAATTATTCTCCCTTCAGAAGCGTGGAAAACGGGGAGGAGAGTATGTAATATATTATTAAGGTCATAAATAACATCCAGAATTCAGAGATATACCCCCCCACCCCAATGCTACGGACACTGTAAAATGATTTTCAATAGTATATAAAAGTAGATAGTGCTTTTCACTGTAATCCAGGCAAGGTGATTTGTGGTCATGCTGGATGAGTGCCTTGTATGCCTCTGTGGAGGCTGGAGTGGGACACAAGTCACAGGGTTTGTTTTTTTTGAAGGTGAGAGCATGGGCTAGGGTAAGGTGGTGGCAAATGTCTTGCTGGCCTGAGAGGAAACATGTTTACAGCTGCTTGGATGATCATTGAAAGTACGGTGTTCTTGTGCCAGGACCAGAACAGAGCTCTGGGGAGCCAGGCAAAGGGAGAACCTCAGATGTTCCAGTGAAAAGAAACAAATAACGTGGGAAGAACCACCATCAACTATTACATCAAACTGGGTGATTGTAAGTCAAAGCATTGACCTGGTCAATTGTAGTTCAGCTTTCAGCAACAAAAGTAATCAAATATTCCGTTGTTTTTATTCAGGAGTACTTTTAAGTTGAGAAGCGACCACTAGATTATAAATTAATCGTGAAGAATTTCATATCTTGGGCTTAAATAAAGCATGCTTTCCAGCTGTATTTTTGTTTGTTTGTTTGTTTAATTTTAATATAAGAGTAGCTTGTCTTTCACTTCCCAGGACAGTCTCACTTCTGAATTTTCTCCTATAGACAATCACTGTTTAATCAGCTACTTTTGCTCTAAATTGCATTGTCTAGTTTAAACTTTGGTCTTTGTTATGCCTTTATCCACTAGCTTAAAGAGCCTGTTAGTACCTGCTGTTATATCCCTGTGATGGTAGTTACACAATGTAATCATATCGCCTCTTTTCTTGAAAAGCTGAATAGATTGGGCACCTGAAATCTCTCCCTGGAGAGGAATTACTTCAAATTATTTTTAGGGTTCCTTCTTAACCTTCTGTAGTATTTCAATATCCTTTTAAAAACGCAGATACCAAAACTGGACAGCTTCCAGTATCTGTCTCACTGATGCTTCACGCAGAGAGAAAATCGCTTCCCTACTACTACTTGTTACTCCTCTGAAACGTCTGAGGGTAGCTGCACCCTCTTTAGGCCCCTTTTCCCTAGGAGTATAGCACAATTCCTTCCTACTCTGACCCCCAAAATCCTTCCCTGGGTGCAGAGCAAACCACACGCTCCCTGGTTCTGCTCCAGAGTGGCTGGCAGTTTCGGTCACCTGGAGTCATATTTTTGCACTGAGCTCTATTAAAACGCGTCCTGTTTCAACTAAGCTTATCTTATCTGCTCCTTAATAGGTTACACGTGTAATGAGAATGTCACGTATCATTGAATAACACACATTTCAAAAACCTGTTATGGCCACGGCTGTGTGAGTTTACCAACCACACTGATAATTTCCTCACAAAAACATGAATCCTGTTTGCTTGGCAGGCCACTTCCCATAAAAACAAACTTTATCCATACATTGCATTTTTTCTCTCTTTTTTTTCTTGGGGGTGGTTAACGTTAGGCTAACCGACCTGTAACTACCTGGTCACTATAATTAGTTTTTCTGGATCTTATCACGAAACTGAACACTCGATCTTTCAAGATTTTCCTGTTATGCCAAGATTTACTTGAAGTAGTGTCAGAGAGCTGGTTCTTCTCTCCGCCCTCCCGCCCACTCTTTTGGGATTCATGTGTGCCATTTTTGCAGGTCTGCTGGTTTTTGTATGTTCTTAGGAGGTGCTTCTTAATCTCACTTTTATGAGTCAATAATCTGGCAAACACGTCCTCCCTTTCTTTCCAAATATAAACCTGAAATATTTATTGATCACTTATACCTTTTTTGCCTTCTCTTCTAATAATACTCCTTACTCTTCCAAATATATAAAAGCTTTATTGTCCATAGTCCTTCCGGGCATGGATTTTCCCTTTACAGCTTTTGCTTCTCTTATGAAATCTCAACACTTTCTAATTAATGTTGATTGCCATCTACTTTCATCTCTCAATGGTAGCTCTACATGGTAATTTTTTTCTTCTCAATTGCTGACTTCACTTCTCCAGTAATGGGCTTTCAAGGAAAGTTATCCTCTTCCTTGATGGTAGGCTTCTTGGCAACCCACCATGTTCCCTGTAAACTTCTCTATTTTATTCCCCTCTTCGCCTGTACATTTTTCTCCCAAATTCACTTTTTCCAACTTCGGGGAAATAACTTTTTCAAGGGAGGAAGAGGGAGAGGGGGAGAGAGTGTAAAATATGGTTAAGGCTGTCATCTGTTTGCTTAGATCAGTGGCGGCTATGAACATAAACTGGAAACAGGCAAATATTGACACTAGCGAGATATTCAGGCATCTCATCTAAATGAAAGGGAATGGTATTTCTAGCAGCACATTTTAATAACGAGGGGGCTAAAATAGGCAATATCTATTAATCCTGTGAGACATCCTTCTGCTACTGAACATAGTTATGGAAAAGCAGAATTTTTGCTACTCGCTTGCACTAGGATAGACAAACATAAGAGCCGGTTGTGTTTTGACCCTTTTGAAAGGCATTTGAGTCTTGGCCAAAATTCTTTTGGGGTGTTTTATACATTAAAAATCCCCAAATCTGGGCTTTCACTGAGCCAAAATTGAACTATTCTTTTCTGTCTGTGGCCGTGGAGTTCGAGTGTTGCCAGAGAGCGGCTCTGTCATTCTTTGAGGTTCTCTGTGTTCCCGTCAGCTGCGCACCCGATTTTGGTAAACGTGCCTGTCAGCGTCATTCAGAAACGTATAGTAAGAAATTTATCCGGTTTGTATTTTAAAACCTGATATACGAGCGATTATGCCTTTAAGCTGTGTGGCATAATTACACTGTAACATCCACATTTGCAATTTTTTTGACTTATCCTACAGCAGTCAAGAAAGGAGGAAGGGG